ATATATATATATATATATATATATATATATATATATATATTGTGGTGGTAGGCAACTTACAGGTGTTAAATTAAGTTGGGTCTTGCAGTGGCGTTCCTTCTGTACACATCTAGTTGCACGTGTCTCAGTATGATACATTTTCCAGTTCTAGCTTCTGGTCTCCCGTTCCCATTTCGCCACCCCAATGTCCGTTTTCAAAAAGCTACTCGGCTTAGATACTCAGCACCAAGACGCAATCGAATCCCGTCCAGATGTGCAGCCTTTGGGTCCCTATCTGCAGCAGAAATTCTCGCGAGGAGTGAATTATAATAGTAAGTTCTGTTGTGTGTCTTTTTGGCATACTCCATTGTCCCCCAGTTGATTTGTACTGCGGAGTAGTTCCTTCCCCTCATCTTCTGGAATTTCATTAGATTTGAGCTAGTTGAAGGACGATCCCACCATCTCAAATAGCAATGTTGACAAGAGCTCTCCATCCACTTTCCGTCCGGTTGAGGATGCGAAGTGTGCGATACAGCAGCCATTGTCCGCAAAGTCTTAGACTAATCATTTGGAATGAACCCAGGAGAACTCCAAATTGAGTTACTCTAGGGAGATGATCTGCGTTTCAAAGCTTTGTAAGTGTTTCTTGTATTGTCGAGATTATTTTCCTTTGTAATTGATTTGTAAGTGTTATACACTCAGCTGTTTTGTGAGTGATACAAATATGGCGATATGGACCAAGTGGTGAGAGCGCGAATTTACTGACCGGAATGTTCGTGTTTCGAACCCGACCTCTACCTCTCGACTTCACCTGTCTAGGCTTGGGCAGACTGGCAGTATCCCAGCCCTCGTGCCTCATTCGTGTGGCATGGCAGCTAGGCACCGAAAGGGGTGCTACAACTGAGCGATTTATTATTTTTTTATAAATACGACCTACTTTTAGCAGCCTCTGACAACATTTCGCTATCTCAGTTAGCTAGAGCTTTATACGGTCACCTGATTCAAATTCAAGGGCCTCCGTTTGCTTTTGTGACAATAGTGTCCAGGTTTCTTCCCAGGTAAACAGGGCTACGGGAATCGAGCACACCCGGTCTCCTCAGTTAATGGTAAATCTATCACCCATAATGCAACCATAGCTGCGAAACCACAATGCCACTTTCACGTTTGTCATCCCGCGTAGATTAAGCTTTTCGTTTGTTACATACGTGTATCCAATGTCCTCGGGACTGGATTCAGCCAGGTGGAATTTAAGCGAGTACCTATATACGGATAGCTGATCAGCATATACTTTGGGAATGCACATATTTTGGTTATTCCCGCCGTTCTTGTGTCTCAGCTTGCTTAGGCGTATCTTAAAGCCAGCTGACAGATGTAACACACTGCAAAACTTTGGTTCGGTAGGGAAGTGGGGTCAACGAAGTGGCCGATTTAGCCAATCCCGACAACAATTTTCATCACTAGCACGAAGGTCTTTCAAATAACTCAACTGCTTCGGTCGCACAGTCTGACGCTTGCTTCACATTTGTATAGTGTATGTGCGACACTCAACGGTACTTAAAATAATCCCGCGATTTCACTTGCCAATTTGTCTCAAGAGATTTCCATTGTGGAAACAAAAACAAAGCGAGAGAAGCCAAGCGTTGACAGGACATCACAGAGAACAATGTCATTGGTACCTAGTCACTGTTACATCACATGACATTCCAGGGTAGGGTAGGATCACAGTTGAACCTCGGGCTTGCACATACATGTGCCTAGGCACCAATAAACCAGCAAAATGCAACATCCTTAGCTGAAACGAACGGAATAAGTTTTGTCTATTTTAGATGTGAGTGGTACTGAAGTAATTCTACCTTGTTTAGGTAAAGTCCACTAAGCCACAGTGTGGTCCGTCTTAACCGATTGACAGATGTAACACACTGCAAAACTTTGGTTCGGTAGGGAAGTGGGGTCAACGAAGTGGCCGATTTAGCCAATCCCGACAACAATTTTCATCACTAGCACGAAGGTCTTTCAAATAACTCAACTGCTTCGGTCGCACAGTCTGACGCTTGCTTCACATTTGTATAGTGTATGTGCGACACTCAACGGTACTTACAATAATCCCGCGGTTTCACTTGCCAGTTTGTGTCAAGAGATTTCCATTGTGGAAATAAAAACAAAGGGAGAGAAGCCAAGCGTTGACAGGACATCACAGAGAACAATGTCATTGGTATCTAGTCACTGTTACATCACATGACATTCCAGGGTAGGGTAGGATCACAGTTGAACCTCGGGCTTGCACATACATGTGCCTAGGCACCAATAAACCAGCAAAATGCAACATCCTTAGCTGAAACGAACGGAATAAGTTTTTTTCTATTTTAGATGTGAGTGGGACTGAAGTACTACTGCCCTGTTTAGGTAAAGTTCACTAAGCCACAGTGTGGTCCGTACTTAACCAATGTGAACGGAGGATAAAAGGAACTCGTCTCAGGGGACTGTTGGGAACATGGAATCGACAATGCAAAAGTAGCTCAGGTGGCTTGGGAAACACAATTCACCCGCTTGGACGAGCTAGCCACACCAGTTGGCCCACGTGCTTCGTATGTTGAGGGGTCATCTGCATCGCAGAGCTTTTACCCACGAAACAGCCGTACTTGCTTCGTTTTGTGTCAACGTGTCTGCGTTTTTACTCTGTTGTTGAGCTGATCTGTTGTGCTGTTCTGCTTCTGTTCTCTTCCCTTATCCAATTTCTTGAGAAGCTTCATAGAAGTGAATGGAACTCAGTTGTTGGAAAAGTGCAGTGCCGTTTATATATTTTTTTGTAATTCGTCAGCAGCCTTCAATTTTTGGATGGTGCGTTCAAGTACATGTGCAGACGAGGTGAAATGAAGTCACCCATGCAGCTGCTCTGCAGCTCTATCCCACGTTACATTCATGCACGTGAGGTTCTATCGCATCAGCTTGAGTTGGGGCAGCTTCCCCAAGGGTTCAACTGATAGGACATCTTAGCGATAAATTAGAAATTGATGGTTCGATTGTAGTCTCGGGTGATGTCTGTATTTTTGTTTATACTTGAAATTCGCTTTTCAAGACGCACCAAATTCCTGAATCTCTTCCCTCATCAGTGCACCTGTCAGTTGCAATTTATTAGACTCGTACCTCGGCTAGTGTGTGTGTGTTGTAAGGCCCAAAGTTCTGAAATGATTTATCAACCCATAGATTTATCCACAAAGCGGTGACCGTGATCAGAACTTTCTTTTGGTACCTTGTTGCGAAAATGCATGGATTAGACTACTCATGTGGAAACAAAGAAGAGAGTGATTAATCCAAAAAAAACCCTGATGATTCTTATGCGTCTTGTTCACAAAAATGAAACGCATCACATTAGACTGAGGAACTGTTACGACTTTTGCTAGTCCAATATCAGCATCAAACTTCATCAATCCGCATTGCATTGCTCTCCACTTCTTCAAGGTCTGTACTGCTTACCCTATTCTGTCTGTTATCTGACACGCTTAGTGTGTGTGTGTGTGTGTATGCACACGTTGCTCGGTTAAATGTTTCCAAAAGGTCTTTGGCAGACGCGACCTATAACATCACAATAGGACTCTATTGTTTTTCACCTGTCACAACTCTGCCCCCCACTGCTTTTGTGTTTGTTTCAAGTACACTGCTTAGTGTTGCAGTTACCTGGTTTTGGTTGTGCACGGCGAGCATCCTGCTGCTCCATTACAAATGGATTACCATACACATTTTCACCTGGGTCAGTGGTGTCAGCCAAAATCCTTGTGCGGTGCGACCTATTGTGAACGATATCCATGCTGTACGCAGCCTGGTCTCGTATCTGGTTGGCCAATCAATAGAAGTCAGTTGGATACTTTCCTGGTCTATACTACTAGGGCTTTGAAACAGTTTGTTCCGTAAAATTTGGACTACTCGACAACCGATCTGTACTCCACTGCTCCATAATCTGAACTGTTTGTCTGATTTCGTTTGTCTTCCGGTGAATGTACTGTACGTTTGTTCAGTTTTGCTGCACACTGTAAGAAGTCTTAACTCTAAGTGGTAATATGACACTTAATCGTCGTTCAGCTGTCGCATCCTTTATGTGCCCAGCTACCATGCCACACAAATGAGGCACGAGGGCTGGGATACCGTCAGGTCGCCCAAGCCTAGACAGGGGAAGTCGAGAGGCAGAGATCGGGTTCGAACCACGGACCTTCCGGTCAGTAAATTGGCGCTCTAACCACTTGGTCCATCTCGCCCCACCAAGCTACAAAAATGGTGATCGACTGTCGCCTGACAGCTACAGATGAGAACACTGGTGCTTCGCAACCGTACAATCACGTCATTTTTTTATAAAAGCCTTACAATGAAAAGAAGAAAAATGCGACAGGTGTCGGGAAATGGAGTAAAAATCCGAGGAGCCTACACCTCCAACACTGAGTCAGACAATCTGGATATAAACTGATAGTGTGTGAACACCACTGTCATCGGTTAGCCGCTATATCGTTCAATGTCTCCAGCCAAGCTCTGGAAGGGTCACGTGAGCCCGAATTTGGAACGCGAACAGCACTCACTTTTGCGGGCGAGATGGCCCAAGTGGTTAGAGCGCCAAATTGCTGACCGGAAGGTCCATGGTTCAAACCCGACCTCCGCCTCTCGACTTCCCCTGTCTAGGCTTGGGCAACCTGGCAGTATCCCAGCCCTCGTGCCTCCTTCGTGTGACATGGCGGTTAGGCACCGAAAGGGTACTACAGCTGAACTATTCTTTTCATAATCTTCATTCTTTTCTGTCCTGTCAAATTCTGTCCGTTCTTTTCATAATTTTCATTCTTTTCTGTCCGCCTCCAGGTTCGCGCTACTCCGAATTAGGCACGGAAAACAGCGCTGGTCCCGGCTTGCTTAAACAATGGCCCAGCCAACGTAGCTTGCATTCTTTGAGTGAAGCACTGTGTGTTTCACCAGAGACCCGCTTCCTGGTCACCTTATCACGAATCGCTTATTCCAGTGGATTCCAGCTATAATTATGGAAACCCAGGGTAAAAACGAAGAAGTCTCAGCTCACACGCCCGAATTGGCAGTCTGGCAGCCGTACACCAATACAGGCCGAACTGTAGTCTCGTACCCCACGTCTGGTTTGTTTTTTGATGCCACAAGTGATGCAAATTGACAAAAGTAATTCTGGCCTAAAAATATATTGGACGTTGACTTGGTCTGTCACAATCCCATCAGAGCTAATGCAACTCCCGAGGTACATATAGGGTTTCACAACTTCCGGTGTCACTCCCTGGCTGTGCGCCCTTAGAAGTCTTAGAATTTTGTACGCAGCATGCAATTCCTGGATGCGATGCAAATGCCGAAAGTCGATCACCTTAGCCGGCACGCGCATCCCTGTCTTCAAAAGTGGAAACGCTGCTTATACACATACTGTTGCTCTAACAATTGACCAGTCTGGCAGCCGTACACCAATACAGGCCAAACTGTAGTCTCGCAAACCACGTCTGGTATGCTTTTTGATGCCACAAGTGATGCGAATTGACAAAAGTAATTCTGGCCTAAAAGTATATTGGGCGTTGACTTGGTCTGTCACAATCCATCAGAGCTAATGCAACTCCCGAGGTACATATAGGGTTTCACAACTTCCGGTGTCACTCCCTGGCTGTGCGCCCTTAGAAGTCTTAGAATTTTGTACGCAGCATGCAATTCCTGGATGCGATGCAAATGCCGAAAGTCGATCACCTTAGCCGGCACGCGCATCCCTGTCTTCAAAAGTGGAAACGCTGCCTATACACATACTGTTGCTCTAACAATTGACGGAGTGTGAAGGTATGGTCCACACAGCCCCTTCTCGGTCGGAATCCTGCTTGCTGTTCTCGGGTGCCGTTTTTATGCGCCGTCGTAAGAACACGCGACGCATAGTCTGGTTACAACGGGGCTCAAGCTAATTCTTCTGTGATTTCCTCTCTGAAAATGGGCACCCTTTTGACTCATCCCGTTTGGTTAGATAGAGGTAAGGTAAGATAGATAGAGGTAAGTTTGACAAGCACCGATTAAGGACTTCACCTCCGTTTTTGAACAGAGCTTGTGAAAGTTCGTCGGAACCGTCAACTTGGTAACGTTTAGGGCATTCCGAAGCCGTCTGGGGTTCCTAGTGCAGCGCTGCGTCCTGGGTCGGAACTACGACTAAGCAACTTTGGGTAACCAGTTCAACTGTCGTTGAGTTGGAGCAATGATTTTCGGAAGTGAACGTTGGGAATTCTCAGCTGGAGAGTGCAGCGCTGCGTCCTGGGTCGGAACTAGGACTAAGCAACTTTGGGTGACCAGTTCAACTGTTGTTGAGTTAGAGCAATGGTTTTCGGAAGTGAAAGTTTGGAATTCTCAGCTGGACCAATTATTTCCAACATTCACCGTCGCGCAAGAGTAGCCCTCGTGGTTGCAGATCTGAAGACTAAGCAATTAGTCACTGGTATCTCCTTAACATAGCAGGAGTTATCAGGTTTGAGCGTATTTGCCATAAAGTAGCAAATCAGATCTGCTGACGGAAATTTCCTGAAGGACAGACCAGGCAAGGCGGTGCCAATTGAGGACGGCCGTAGCCAAAGTTGTTCTTGTACTTCTTGATTCTGTGAACACAGTGGCAGACCCTGCAGGACGTGGCAAGTAGCTAGTTTTATTGGAAGGGTGTTCTCACTTCCTAGCCAGACCGCCTATGGAAAGTTTGTGTCCGTCCGCTGAACTTTTTCTGAATAAAGTTCGTAACGGATGCCTACTAATCTCACTTTTTGCGTTTTACTTCGAGCAAGCGTGTGTTCCAGTGTGTAAGCATCATTTTTTCATCGTTCTTCACGATTATACGAGCTTTCGTTGAAATAACCCTACACTATTCCCCTTTTCTCCTAGTTGAAAGGTTGCAGATCTATAGTGAAAGGAAGAAGACCCTGGCTGCGGAGTTACTTATTAGAAAATGCCAACTGAACAGTTACAGACTATTGTATAGGGGAGCAAAACTCTCATATGCATCTTGTTTACAAAACTGAATATCCATCTTCTCCCTGAATGCGTCTTCCTGAACTTTCCTGGATATTCACTGACTCCCACTCAAATGCAAGCAAATGCTACAAAGCGACTCGACTAACTTCATAATAGATCTCAATTTTCAAGAGACGCGAGGTGGATTTACGAGAAGACGTATTACTCGCATGCCATCCATCAGTAGTATCACCGTTACACCAGTATTGTGGTCGTTTGTATCCGCACAGCGGCACTCGTGTGACTCCTCCCCCAAGAGGCCTTCCTTAGGGAGTTACTGTGCTTCTTGTCAGAGGTATAGTGAGCGTATCCCCATCTTCGATTCCGTCTGCAGCCTATCAGCGGCCAACCAATCAGACGGCGAGCGAGCCCTAGGACCCCCTAACCAACCAACACATCGGCTATCTTTATGTTTGTATAACCGTGTTTCATCTGCCCAAGTCACTAAAGAAGGCCAATTCTCTTTCGTTTCAGTGAAAATCGTCATACGTGGAGATCGCACTTCGGGAAAAACTGCCCTGTTCAATAGAATTAAGGGTGGTGAGTTTACGGAGACCTATGTGGCGACGAACGAGATCCAGGTAAGTTTAAAGGTGCCCAGTCCCGATTTAATCGTCACTTTTCTTGTGTTCTGATACTCACGTGTCCCCACCTTCTCTTCTGTCCCGTGCGCACTCACGCGGTGTGTGCTCAACCGTGCTTCTAGATTTTTTATGTTGGTAACATGCACCGTGTGATCATGTGTTCGACCGCAGGGTTTTGGAACTTTCTGACAACGTGGCAATCGCCGTGTTGATTTGGTTGCCTAAATTCCCTGATCGACTGATGATCCCTGTTCATCTTCAACCGGCACACGATCGGGAATCACTTTTCTTCGGCCTTGATGACTAAATGTGCTAGTAATAAGAACTAACGATTTGGACTTATTACCCCTTTGTGGGCCACCGCTGGTACTCACACATTGTGTCCTGCGATTCTGATTGATTTTCAAGCTAGCGCAATCCACAGGGTAGGAACAAGCAAGTCACTCATGCTCCACATCGAAATTTTACAAGAATTTAAACTTCTAGATAAGCTATCATTAAGCTACCACCAGCAAATCCGCTAGTTTGTTCCCCAATGACCGACTGACTTTAGCCCCTGGGAAAGGCCGTGCACGAAACTGTCGACCTCGGCTGTGCCGTGCACGAAACTGTCGACCTCGGCTGTAAATTAGCTCTATTCTCTGGTGACTCCCGTTCTTTTATCCGTAACACCACAGGTTCTGTGACACATGATTTTATATGATTTTACCGTCGCCTCTACTTAAATATTATTCGAGCATCCTTTGAATACATGAACACGTTCGTCCGTTCAAACCGCGTAATTCAGCGTGCGCTGATTAACTTTTGCCCTAATAAGGGATCATCAGCAGTGCATATCCTTGACCTTGCCGGGATCGAACAAACCGATCACATCGCCTAGGAGTGAACACATCTGTCTGTTCAGACGTCATAATTCAGAGCAGTAGTAATCTGCTCGCCCCACATATCAAATGTCCATAGTTCAAACCCCGGCACAGTCATGCGTATCCACTGCTGGTGAATTCGAATGAAAGCGAAACTCGAGTCCAACGCTTCTCCCCTTTGGTGTTGACCCGTCGGAACTTGCCGGCCAGGACAGTAAGGGGACTGTTTAGACTACTGTGATGTGAATGCGGCTTCTACCAATCCCTCAACATTCTCCAATCATTGGTTTGCGTTTTCGTCTGATCTCTATCCACCGCGCATGTGAACATAAGTCTGAATCAATCCAAACGGATCGAGGCATGTCTTGCCAGACGATCTGACCACTGGCGCGTTGGTTGTGTGTGTAGCGCTTCCGAGCCAAGTCTGCGAATAGCAGTGATGTAAAGAATGTCAAGTTGGCGGCTCCCCACAAATTAGCTGTAATGAATGGACATCTCTCGCACCGCCAGGCCATCTAAGTAGATTGTGAATTCGTCTAACACGATCACGTGACTTTTGTAGCTCGAAGCACACTCCTATCGACTCGTAGACACTACTTATATGGAAATAAACAGGGAAACGTGGATACCGAAAGCAAACCAGAGGATCCATCTGCATTTCCATACCTCCGGATGATGGGGTATGATTTCTTCATATTCTGGTGGATTCTTCGGATCAAACGGTGAAAGTTGATCGGTCACGTCTGTAAATAAAGTTGTTTCACTTTCAGGGATCGATTTAAAAGGTGGGGCTACTTGGTCATGGGTGCAGTCTTGACACAAATGTGTTCTAATTGTGCTCATTTTTTCGGCGCATGTGTTCTCCGTATATCGTGGTTTATCTACTCGAACTCTCACTTATCACTTATAACCTGAAGATTGGAACACTGTCCTGGTGTGTAATCACATGATATTCGACATTGTCCTGGTGTATAATCACATGATATTCGTGCGCCCACTTACGAGTGCACCAAGTGACCCAATCATATGCTTCCAGTACCCCCCCCCCAAAGAGCGACACCTCCGAGTAGAGGCCACTTCTGTAGTTCCCTCTTCCAAGGGATGCCAAGTGCTCTCGTCCAAAATGGTAGTCTTTTGGGGAAATTCAAAACACCCCGTTAGTCTGTTTCAGCCCTTGGACATGGTTTGTACGGGCAGATACTGTCATCCTTGAAAAACACCAAGACAGGTCTTCATCTTGGGCTGATCATCATATCATATCCATAAACAAAGCGGTATTTATAGCAGGGTTCCTGTGCGTAAATTGTCGCTCCATCTTAGCTCTCTGAGCTAAGATCCTATGTAGTGTCGCTCAATTTGTTACCGATCAAATCTTTCATGTTGGTGTTCGTAGCTCTTGTCTTGCTGGTTTTCGGACTTATTTATCCTTCCCACACGCTTGATTGGCTGTACCTTTTTTCCAGTGAAACAGAAAATCTGTTTTTTAATCACAGTTTGCCAAATACATGCACTCCTCAATTACACGCGTCACGTGAGCTATACTGATAAACAGTCGACAGGTTAAGCTTGTAGGGATAGGTGTTACACTTAATTTCTAGAATGTGTGAACATTCAAACCAAACTTCCTTCTCAGAAATCCTCGTTTTGGGCAACTCGAAGTACAGCGGACTGCGAGTGTCATATCACATCAGCAGAGCGGGACTATCAGCTGCTGTCATTTTGTGAGGTAGCCAACAATAGGCGTTAGCTGATAACGAAAGCTGAGACTTACCTATAGACGGACAATAGGCGTTAGCTGATAACGAAAGCTGAGACGGACAGCCGGGATATCAATTTGTTGAACCGCAGTATTCGCTCCCAGCTCTCTGTGTCGCTTCGCAGTTTGCAGTCTATCACTTCGACGGACATCTTTAGAAGTTGCAATCCAATGGCTTTGGTACCAAGCTACTTACTTACCTTTGCCTCATTCCGACCTATCATTCGGTGCCCCACGAAATTTCTATCTCTCCTAGCCTTTTTGACCGAATCCAGTAGGGATGTGGCTACGCGTATGGTCCAAACAAAACATATGAGATCTTTTCGTCTGAAACGTCTGTAAGTATTTGGAACAGCGATTGCCGAAGCTTTTAACGACAACTCATCCATTCTGATTTGCTATAAAAATGCTGCGTACCTCATGATTGGACTGGAGTTGATCTTTACAACAAAGCTCCTTATTCATTCCAGGGAAAAATGGGAAGTTTTGGCTGTGGTCTACATGTACGAGTAGTATTCATAATGGAGGAATTTGTGGGGGAAAAACTGTAATAATATCTTACACTAAAATAACGCGTGGAACTAAGAAGACTTCTCGGACAACCAACAGATCCTACTTGTGGTCACCCAATGCCTGTACTATATGGGACGTTTTTGCCAACGAAATGCCTTAGACTAGCAGTAAGACATGCGTCCTCACACTTAACTTGCCAATCAGATTCTCCTTGAGGGTTTCGTTTGAATATCTGCCCGTGCATTTGATGGTATAGCCATCCAGACCGGCGACTGTCTCGTGCATTGATCCAGTTGTGGCCCCAAACTCTACGTGTTATTACCTCCTAACTACTCATCAGTAGCTAGATTCTACGGACGTTTTTATTTCAGGTCATTGGGACCATCACTATTTTGGTAGACTTTACCCATCCCTTTCTCGCGTCTGTATAGGTGGCTAGCGTAAACTGGAACTACAAGAACTCTGGTGACATTATCAAGGTTGAAGTGTGGGATGTAGTCGACCAAGGGAAGCCAAGGCCAGCCTCCCAAGGTCTGAAGTTGTCCAACTCACCGCAATCGGTAAGCCCGCATTTTCTTGTTTTCTCATCCACATTTCGCGGTTGAATGAACTAACCTATATTTCGGGAGACCCTTTGACATTTTCAATAGTGTTTTCCACGTGTTTCGCGCGCATCTGCTGTACGGTAGCGACGAAAAACGCATGTGTATCAATCGTTTTCACTCATTTTACCCATGACAGTCACCATCCTATGCGCTCAAATGCTCCATAGTCCACACGGAATACGTTGCGTTTCAAAACAGCTTGCAACAATTTCCTAGTTTTCGCTGTTTCTGGTCGAAGTCTTTTTTATCATTAGGAGAATTTGTGGTATTACACTTCGAGCGAATCCCCTGTCGCTATAGTGCCGAGTAGCCGTTCCCACAAATGACGTTTGTGCAATTAGGGTATGGAAACTGGTGCTGTCCGGAGAGAATCGGTTAGTATTTTGAACCATCTGAAAGTGAATAGCAGATTTCAAGAGCTTTCACAACGTAACATTTAAGATAGGACAATATTCCAAGGGACAACCGTCCGGAAGACAAACACACCAATAACAAAGAAGCATGGAAGGAGAAGGCTTTGTGGCTCATAACAATGGTGGAACATATGGCTCCATATCTAAACTCGGCACCCGTGGACTGTTATTTAATGGTAGACCGTAAGTTTTATCAAGTCGCTCTAACAAGTACAATACCGTGATTGACAATTATACGAAAATGCTTGATTACATCACCTGCGAGTGCTCGCTGAACGAGTATTCAGGCTCATAAAATCCTATGAAAGTTGTCCCAAAAACTACAGCTTATCTACGTGAAACGTTTGCAGCCAAACTGCCCAGTTCAGCGAACAAACCAACAACCAGCTGATATTATGTTTGTTACATTGACTTGGACGGGTCGAATCGTCTGGTGACCGGGAGAAAGGTCGGGAACTTTTTCCAGGCATGAAAATGGGAATGCCTAACGAGCGGGAAAAATTTCGGCGTTCAGGTTGGGGGTTTTCCGAAACCCTGCTCGATGGATCTGGAACCACTGCGAAATGACTGTACAAGGTAGTGCTTTGAAAGAAAGTAACGGATGTCGTAGAAACTTGTGTTGCAGAACGGAGCAACTACTTCCCAACCCAGTGTTAATCCTTCTGAGGTGAAACTGATAATCAAGAACCGAGCTAAAGCGTACATGAGTTTGTCTGTGGAAGTCAATCAGCCGAGGTCCGAATAAAGTACTCAGTGGAACATGAGGGTCAGTGATGATACTTACGTTTGATTTAATGAAAATATCACTTCTATTAAGAAAAATTGTTCAGCTGTGGCACTCTTTCGGTACCTAACTGCCATGCCACCAGAAGGAAGCATGAGGGCTGGGATGCTGCCAGATTGCCCAAGCCTAGACAAGGGATTCGAGAGGTAGAGATCGGGTTCAAACCACAGACCTTCCGATCAGTAAATCCACGCTCTAACCTCTGAACCTTCTCGCCCGTCTCTTCTGTCCAGAGTAGCTGGATTGGAGTGTTGACCGGTTTAACTAACCCGGGCAACATGCACTAGAGACGTCTCAAATGAAACTGCTTCAGATGAACAACAAGGAGATCTATTTTTGTCAGGTAGATATCACATAATTCAACCCCTGCTCAGTGGAACTGATTTGAACTCAAACAAGAGCCCAACCGTCATTTTCTGTGATGGTAATCAATGGTGCCCAAATTCTTTTGTGACGCCAGCAGGTAATCATATGTCGGCGAGACAATCACATGATATATCATTGACTAATCAATGTCTAAGAGACTGTTCATCGACGACCCCCCCACACACACACACAACTGTTCGTGAGCAGAAACGACCTCGGTTACTTAATCTGGGGAATGATGAGTGCGGTAATGTTTGCAAAGCAGCCAACGTAGATATAAAGTAGCGTACAATTGTGACTTCAACTCTGTCAGGATTTGCTACAACTTTCCAGATTCATGCGTAAGGTTTTCACGGAGAGCACCTCGAGCAGATGACTGTAACCTTTAATCGGTTCACGCCTGTTTATCAATGTTAACCGAGCTGTTGTTCACTGTACCGAGGGGGGATGAATGCCTGCTTGCGTGCAAGCAAGCAATTGAATCTATTTGTTGGATTTTCATCATGCGTCGTAGCTGCTGAGGCTCAGCTCCAAGTAGGAGCAGATTCGCCGCTGTTGTACTTCATAACGGTCCATAAGCCGGGTGTGAACCTTAAATAAGCAATAATAATAATCCTTCAGCTCTAATACCCTTTCGGTGGCTAGCTGCCATGCCATCCGAAGAAAGCACGAGGGCTGAGATACTGCCAGGTTGCCCAAGCTTAGACAGGAGAAGTCGAGATGCGGAGGTTGGGATTGAACCACGGGCCTTGGGGTCAGCAAGTTCACGCCTTAGCAAGTGAGCTATCTCGGGCT